ACGAAGAAAATATAGTTTGAGTGAACGAATAAGAAATGACGGGCGTTCCATGGCTAGATTAATTTCATCAATCACCTCCTCAATATTTTCTATTTCTTCATTAAACATCACAGGTTCTGTGTCCGCTTTTTGGATAGATTCTAATGAACTCCAAAGATAATTTACAACTTCTTTGAGTAGAGCGACAGCAATGACTAATTGCAAAAGTTCAAAATTTGAACTACATAAAACGTTGATTGCGTCACTGTAGCTTTTCATCAGGTCCTTAATATCCCATTTTGCAAAAAAGTCATTTTGTATTACATCACAACATAAAGCCATAATCGGTGAATCAACACCATTTTCTTCAAGAGCGGTATTAATGGCAGTCAAATTCGGAGAACGATTTAAAATTGCTTTTGAATTTTGAATTAGTTGAATAAAAATTCCTGGCTGAAAGTCATCTTCCGAAAGTAAAATGCGTGATAAAACAGAACCAAGGAGCGCATCTTGCTTTCGTCCAAAAATTATTTTATAAAGGTGAATACGTACTGGTGAATTGAATGGAATAATATCAAAACATTGTCGAAAGAATGAACATTTTGACGTTATGACTCGCTCTGTAGATGGAATGTTGTCAAAAAGCTCCAACACATGATCAACAAATTCCTGGGAAAGTATATTTTCCAGATTATCTAAATCGAGCTCTGGTTGAATTTTAATAGTGTTAATGGCATCAACTATATCCGAAATGTTGATCAGGTTTGTTGAAATTAATCATTACAGATGCGTAAAAATTGTAGAGCTTTTAATTTTGAAGATGTTTCAATATTTGCACATAATGTTAAAACATTAGTAACTTGTCGTTGCCATTCTCGTAAGTCATTTGCAGTAATGTTATCATTAACGTTTTCATTTTTTAATTTAATGATATTTTCAAGCATCATTTTACATACTTGGTCTATTAAATGAATTCCAAAACGTTCATTCTCATTATTATTGATAGTGTCTTTAGATAAAAGTTCTGTGAACGGTGGACACATTCGGCTAATTCAAGTTCAGCAATAAGAGCATCAGAATTTGTCCACCAAAATACGTGCAATCCGATTGGATCGTTTAACGTTTCATTATCATATGAACGGTGGAAAAGAAATTGCAGTAATTTTACATCAGATTCGTTCGAATATCCAGAATTTGTAGATGAAGTCGTTACAAAATCTTTAAAATACAAGTTACCAGCAAGTTGAAGTATTGTTGGAGTCAAAGCTGGAATCATTGCCAGAATATTATTTGAAAATTTTTTAAGAAATGCTTTCATTTTTTCTGAGCGTAAATTCTCATTCTCATCTAAATTTTCGGGTTGCTCATATAGGAGAATTAATTCTTCATTATAAAGTTTTTTATGCTGATCAATCTGTTCCATAAAATATGAAGAAAAAGGGAATTGGAGGTTTAAATAATTTCCTGAGATGTTATATAAGTTTGGACGAGGATCCATAAGCATATTATCAATATTTATAATTTTTTTGTCCATAAAGATTTGTTCCCAAAAATCAAGTAATTCTTTTTTGTTCATATCATTCTCCCACGAGAAAAGGGAAGTTAACGCATGAAATCGGTCCAATACGTAAAGTAATTTCGCAATAGGCTTTCGAATCAAAGATTTTATATGTGTCTCAAGAGCCACAGAAAATGAGGAATGTAACGATAATGATTTTTGATTTAATGCAACTAGGAGCTTGAGTTGCTTAAAGGGAGTTAGAGATGAGTGTACTATATCTGATATTTTATTATGCAGTGCAAGGA